ACGACATTCTTCAAAACAAGGTGAACAAACCCCTCAAGCAGTTTATCTGAAGCACACAGCATGTCTAACGCAAGACCGCAAAATCCTAGCTGATAACAAGCCCAGGGTCTCGAGCAGTTCAAAACAAAATTGGACAATATTATCAATAAACACATGGCTGACTTCCTTTACAAAAACCAGAGGAATATTAGGCAAACTTCCAGTCACTCCACAGTCCAAACCCAGACAAACACCATGTTTATATGGTGTTCATTTAACATGTCTTTGAATATGAGTCATGCGTGAGACATTCTGACCAAATAGAGTATGACTGAAGGATTGTAGAGCCTGAAAACAGCCTCATAATAAGACCTCCAGCTTAAGAGTGTAGTTACGCCTGGCAGTCATTCATTAGTCCTCTGAATAATGTCTCTGTTGACATAGAGTGTGGTTATAGAGTATTAAGACATGATTTTTAGTTTAATACAGCTGGTCAGTGAGGACACAGTGAGTCTGTATGGAGATGGTCTTTTCAGTGTGATATGGATTACACAGTGACAGCACATCAGTGTGTGTAGGGCTGAGGCTTTTAATGAGTTCACATTCATCGAGTAGATGAGGACAAGGCCAGATGTCAAAGCTGTTCACAGGGGTTTAGCTGGAGTTCTGCTTTGCTGTTCACCTGGATTTTCCTGAATGTCATCTTTCACTGGAATTAAAGGCTGTAGCCAAAGGGACAAACCAGGATTTGTTGGACATTTCATTTTATTGTTGGTTTTGTTATAAATATCAGTCTTGATTGTGGTTTGCACAGTTTACTGGTACTACACTCTAAGAAATAAAGGTACGTGATCTATCTCTGGGTTGGTCCATATTGATACCTCAAGGGTACATACTAGTACCTAAAAAAGTACAAAAGTGTTCCTTTTAAAATTTTTAGATGCTAATTAGGGTTGTAACAATATACCGGTATGACGGTCTACCACGATTTGAACGTGCACGATTATCATACCATGAACAATTGCATATCAACGGTTTTAACCCTTAAAGACCGAGACAGCCGCCCGCGGCTAAAAATAAGTATTGCTCTTAAATGTTTAATAACTTTTGATCCGCTGATCCGATTAATACAATTCAAAGATTGGCATAAAGAAGAGAATCTCAGCTTCAGAGGCTCCGGAATCAGTGCGGTTACGTAATCAAAATTTGACCACGCTGATTTGACAAAGAAACGCTCGTCACTGTGTCTCCGGACAAACCAGACATGATACATTGATGCATTGTCCCTCCTCCATGCCCAGATTGGTTCAAACTCACTATATCACAACCAATAAGCATAGGTTTCGCTTTTGTTTGTGGACCAAACAATGAGCTTTTTGAACAACACGGAATGAGAGATAGGCATACATTTATGCGCGGCTAAATAAAACGCAGAAAAAAAAGTTTTGCATGAAATAATTCTCATACTAAGTACTTTTGCATGCACAGCAGCACAGAAACATGACAAAACAGTGACACAGCAAAGACGAACTGCTGCTCTTGCTGTTTTCAAAAGACGCAAATGAAGGTGCAGCTGTCTGTCTGCATTGCAGACAACCAAATCCATATCCACAGACAACCATATCCATGCTGGCACATAAAACCTAAGGATGTTCCATATTGAATCTAGTTTCGTTATGTAACTATTTATAGTATAGTAAATATTTATATCTATTTTTTTACTGAGGATTTGCACAATGTTTATTTGGACTTTATTTGGATTTTGACACATTATTTATTATTTTCTTATTTTTTTATTTGTTCATTGTAAGTGGTGTTGTTTATAGTAACTAAAAATATATTATTTGGAAAAAGTCAAATTTGCTTCACTGTTCTATTATTTTGTAACATTTGTAACATACCGTATACCGCGAAACCGTCAAACCGTGGTATTGTTTTAGACGATTATCATACCGTAAAAAATTCATACCGTTACAACCCTAATGCTAATATATACTTTTGAGGCACCAATATAGACCCTTTAAGTACAAATGTGTAGCTTTTGAAAAGGTACCACCACAGTGACAGCTCACGTACTATTTCTGAGTGTATGGTAGTATTTTGATACTATGGGTCCAAAATACTGGCGGTGCCACTGTAGTTTGTAAACGGTAGTATAGTAATTTATGGTCTCTACAATACATAATGTTGCATGTGGAAAAGTCACTAAATGTTCACACGTTTGCACAACAATAGACCATTTTATGACCATTGTGGAGCCCTTTAAGGTTGCAAACAGTGTAGAATTCACACATTTTATGGTAGCCTATTGTATGTTTTCTGACGCTTTCGTTCATTCTGAATCAGTTAATTTCTGCTCCTGTCAATATGATACAGTAGCTGCAACAACTGCGACAAACTCTCTTAAAAGAGCGAATCACAAAGTGAAATTTTGAATTACTTACCTGATAAGACTGAAAAAAAATAGATACTGTAAACATTGAAACTAAATTTTTGAATACTTCATAAAGCCTAATTTGGTTAAAAATGCTCTTTTTGTAACAAATTTCATTTGGTAAAATTTTTATATATTTTAATTTTTTTTTTTGTTGGTCAGTTATCTACAAAATAAACAAAATGAACGAATACATTTCAGGTAAAGTGACGTACAAATACTTCAAGTGCTTCAAAGCCAGTCCGTTATGCTTCAGAAAATTAAGCATGCTAGACTTTTTGTGATGGTGTCGGGAGACATGGTATATCGGTTGTCTTGAATTATGCCATCACACGAGAAGAAAGGATTGAATCTTGTGTCAGGACGCCTATTTGTCGCTTACGACTCCCCACGATACCCTATGTCAAGGAAATTTTTAAGAGCTGTCACAGAATTGTTCCCACGGCTTACAGATTATTATGCTGAAGCTTGAATTAATTTAAATTCACAAAATCTGTCAAAAAAAATCACAATTAGATATTTTTCCCAAATTGCACAGCCCTACTAAAAATCTAATGTTTACTTAAAACCTCAAAATGATGCCATTGCGTAGGCTTTAAATCCAGCATTTTAATTGCTTGTTTATGTATCGACTCAATAGGGTTTAATGTGGTTAAAGAGGCTTGTGACCATGATGTAATACAATATGATAAGTGTGAAAATCATTGTGTGCATGTAGAAATTTGCAGTTTGACATGTTAAAAATCTTCTAATAAAACAAAAACAATTTAGACTTGGCTTGACACATATTTTTAACATGACTGTCAAATTTTAAATTAGATATGCCAAGATACTTGAATTCATTCACTTCATTAATAGATTTATCTTTAAAAATCATCCGTCAATCTTAATCATGTTTGTTATTGTCAGTGTTAAAGGGACCGAAAAATGCGAATTTTCCTCATTTACTCCCTGGTGGTTTTGAACATTTAATGAATTTCTTTCCTCTGTGGAACTCAAAGGAATATAATCTTAATTGAAGATTGTTTAAAAAAACATTCATATTTGGAACAAATAATGCCGTAGAAAAGAGTTTTTTTCCCCAGCATTAATCGTTTGTGTTCAGCAGAAGAAAGAACGATTTGAGGATGAGTAAAAGATGAAAGTTCATCCACAAATTGAAAATTCTATCTTTAAAACATTTGAATAATAGAAACTGTGATCTAGTAAATAAACCAATAACAATAGAGCATATTAGAGTGATTTGAGTGATTTCAAAAGAATCAAGAGTGCTGATGCTGAAAATTCAACTTTAAATCACCAAAAAATAGCATTTAAAAATATATATATTTTCACAGAGAAAAATCACTAATATCAACTCCTGGCATCCTGCATATCTGTCAGTGGTGGAATGAATACTGAAAAATCATACTCGAGTAAAAGTACCATTACTTGCCTAAAAATGTAGTGTAAGAAGAGTAAAAGTATCTGTTGTAAATATTACTCAAAGTATGAGTAAAAAGTAGCCATTTCAAAAGTACTCAAGAGTAGTGAGTTAGCTTTTAAAAACTGATGTGTTTACATGTAATTTGTGCATGTGTGTAAACGTAACATTCTGTAGTGCATCGAGTTATTGCCCAGCAGGCACACAACATCATAAGACATTAACTTTAGGTTAGATTGTGTAGCCAGCATCTAAGAACAACATTATTTGTTCAATAACAACATCAAATGACATTTTGGCATCACATGCTGACACTTACATGATTTTCATGGTAAAACAACATCCCCATTAGACTGGGGTACAACTTAATTCTGACATCATGTTGACATCTTGTGCCTGCTGGATGTTTAAGGCCATTTTGATCGTCATTCAGTTAACATCTATCATCTTCTCATTAGTGACATGCATCTTAAGAGTCTCTGGGTCAATGTATGTAAAGATTTTGGACACCTTGTACACTTTTAATGCTTCCAAACAGTTTGCTGCAATTATAAAGCGCACATGTTTTGAGGTAGGGTTGGGTATCATTTGGGGTAATTTCAATACCGATGCTAAATCAATACTTTTAAAACGGTGACAGTGCCAAAACGGTGCCTGAACCGATAATTTTTAGCCACAAAATTATTTGACAAAAATAAATTTTAATTGAACAATATAATAAGTTTAAAGTAAACATCAATTCATATATTATGTATTTGAATTGCATTAATATATTTCTTTTGATCAACCCTATTTTGGTATACCTTCTATGTGAGATTTGATTGGACAGGAATCACAGGACTGATTTTTCTAATTCCCATAGACAAGAAAAAATAAAGTAGTGACTGAAGGTTGAAGAAATGTAGTGGAGTAAAAGTACTGATTACTACACTAAAAATGTGCTCAAAGGAAAGTAAAAGTACACTTTTTTTTAAACTACTTACTAAATTACAATTCCTGAGAAAAACTACTCAATTACAGTAATTTGAGTATTTGTAATTTAGTTACTTTACACCACTGATAACTGTACTCTATATTTAGTGTGCTCTGACTACAGATTCAGACATTGTGTAGATCGTCATCAGATCAGTCTTATCACCAGGACCTTCTTCCTCACTTTTTTAGGAGGTCAGTGAACCTACAAAGGAGGAGAAGGCAGTGGCCAAATACCTGCGCTTTAACTGCCCCACCAAATCCACCAACATGATGGGACATCGAGTAGATTACTTTGTCGGTGAGTGTGTACCTGTTCCTGTTCTGCTCTCTTCATTTACCTCCTTTTATACCAAAGATCGACCAAACGTTCATTTTCTGCTCCTCAGCCTCTAAAGCAGTCGACTGTCTGCTGGATTCAAAGTGGGCCAAAGCAAAAAAGGGCGAAGAAGCTTTGTTCACAACCAGAGAGTCGGTGGTGGACTATTGCAACAGGTAAATCTAGTCTCTTTCGTTTCTCTAGTGAACTAACGATTATTGTTCAATCAATCATTTGTACCATCTTTTACTGTTTACAGGCTCTTAAAAAAACAGTTTTTCCACCGAGCCCTGAAAGTGATGAAGAAGAAGCCAGAGAAAGACGTCAAGAAAGAAAAGGACAAAGAGAAAGAAAAAGAAAAAGAGAAGGCTAAAAGTGACAGCAGCAAGGAAGAGGAGAAGAAGAGCAAAAAAGACAAGGACAAAAAGAAGGATTCTGAGGCTGCGGACACAAAGAAGGAGAAAAATGTACAACATCTGGCCGGATGGGGAACAAAATGAATAATGTGCAGGTCTTGATGCTTGCTTTTCTCTCTGTGTGTTTAGGATGACAGTCCTGGATCTCCAAAAAAGAAGAAGGATGTGAAGAAGAAGTTCAAACTGGAGCCTCATGATGACCAGCTGTTCTTGGATGGCAATGAGGTCAGGAGGAGTGAAATAATATGTAGCAGATGCATGTGAATAGCTTACAGTTCACTTGATGGATTCAAACCCCAAAATGAACAGAAAACACAAAAGAAGATATTTTGAAAGATGCTGGTTGCTGGCACCCATTGACTTCCATAGAAGGGAAAAATACTATGCAAGTCAATGGATGCCAGAAACCAGCATTCTTCAGAATATCTTCTTTTGTGTTTAACAGAGGAAAGAAACTCACAAAGGTTTAAAAGCACATGAGGGGGAATACATTATGAGGTTATTTTCATCTTTGGCAAATTATGTATAGTCTCTTTAAAGGTAAAAGGTAAATTCCACTTGCTATTAATTTACAAATCTACATTTACATAATTTTCCATCTATAAATATGTACACCAAGGATGTTTGTGTTTTATTGTTTTTGTGTGCACCTGTATATTTTGAATTGTAACATGTTTTCTTGTTCTTTCTCTTTTTTTCTTTAAAGCGTGGCACAAAACATATTTGATTTTTAAGATCGATGTATTGTTGTTCATGTCCCTACAGTTCAAATTTACCCTTTAGTGGTTCCAGAAAACCTTTTTTTTTTTGTTGAATCCAAAAGAAGATATTTTGAAGAATGTTGGCAATTGACAACCATTGATGTTTATGGTAGAAAAAATGCTATGGAAGTCCAGGGCTTTCAGTTTCCAGTATTCTTCAAATGATCTTATTTTGTGTTCAACTGAAGATAAAAATAATTTTTTGGAAAAAGTAAATTTTTTTTTTATTATTATAAAATGGTCCCACTGTATATTAAGTGGCCTTAACTAGTATTTACATAAAAACACTACTTACTGGTTTTTCTAATGTTTTGCAGAACACTTCTGGTGCTCTGGATGTAAGATACAAATAGGATTAGAGACAGGTTTGGTGGTACGGGTGGGTTTAAGGGTGGGTTTAAATGTAAGGGATGGTCAGCAGTGTAATTATAAGTACGAAAACAGAAATATTTACAGATGTAATTACATGCAGGTGTTTAATCAAGCATAAGTACAATGTAAAAACATTTATTTAAACTAAGTACAATGTAACAAAATGTTAATTTTAGTGTAAGTATATATTAGTTAAGGCCGCTTAATATAAAGTGGAACAAATAAAATGATTAATCTAAGGTGGTAAACATTTCAAATGTTTCTTTTAGTTTAGCAGGACAGTTTGAAGATGCTCTGTGCCAAAATGAATATAAATCTAACAAACTGTCTAGATAAGGTGTTTTTTGAATAGTATCATATTATGTTACATTTTTATGAAAGGAAATTATATCTTTGGGTCATAAAAACAGTTCCCCCCTCCTTTTATTTGCTTGACACAAACATCTTGAGTTAGGCCCCGTTTACACTAGTGCGTTTTAGTTTTAAAACGGCGTTGTAGAATGAAAACGATCCGCGTCCACACTCGCGTTTTACCCAGCGTTTCTGAACTGCTCTCCGTCCACACCAAAACGCTGAAAACGCACATCACGTGACCACACAGACACTCGGGCAAGCGCTGCAGCCCATCTACCCAGATGAGAGCTCTGCTAGTCGGACTTCTCATCAAGCATCTCCCGCTGGATCTAACCTCACTATATTTATTAAACGGAATATTTCATTCATCTTGTTGTCTTTATTTAACGACATATTCCCTGACTTTGGTCATTGGAATCTATTACTTGTTCTCAGGTAACGTGTTTTGGCTGAGCGCAAAGATAAGTTAATGATTAATGTAACCACGTAGCCTACATTCTGTATATTGACTGATCGCTTGCCTTTATTTCCTATAATGTATAAACTTATTGTATGTTATACTTTTATAATGGCCATTATCGATTATTAAAACTGATATTCAGCAAAAGAGAGGCTGTGTTTCGTATTTTCACTGAAATTGAAAGGAGGCAGTTGTTATCGGCTCCGTTTTGTTATAAATATTCACACAGTGAAGATGACGCTCATGCAGCACGACGCCTCAACATTTCTGCTGTCTAAGTTGCTAATATTAAAATAAAAATAGGCAGTTCCTTAAATCATGTTTACATTTTATTGTTGAGAAAGTGAAACTATGTAGCCAGGGTGATGTGAATGAAGTTATAAAGTACACTGTTCCCTTTGAAGATTTACCCGTGTCCTCGGTATAGTCTGTTGTCCATATCAAACTGAGAAGAAGAGACTGCAGCCTTGATTAAACTTGCGAAGTCTAAACTTACACGGAGAGGATGCAGGACGGAACTGTGTGTGTTAGGCTACTTAATATTCAGGAAAAGCCCCAATCAGAGAGGCGAATGTCTGCAGTCCCGCCTCCGTTTTCAGATGTCTCCGTTTTCCATCATCCACACTGAGACGGAGCAGCAGCGTTTAAGAATGAAAACGGCCTCTCCAGCGTTTTCGAAACGCTCCGTTTTCGGCGCTCGAGAACTCCGGCGTAGTGTGGACGGTTGGCGTAACCGTAGCAAAACTTATGCGTTTTCAAACTAAAACGCATTAGTGTAAACGGGGCCTTAGAGAATGAGCATAAAGTGTCCTCATGGTTCAAAGGTTTTTATCATGTGTGTGAGTGCAAATTTGGACACTTGGTGGTGCTAGAGTTTTCATAACTTCCCTGCAAATGGTTCTATGTGTTGCTATAGACCCCTGAAGTAAACAGGGAAAATCTAGCAATAATTTTAATAATGTTATTCACGTTAGTTGTATTTTACTAGTTATAACTTAAATTATCATTTAGAATATATCATTTATTATTCACAGTTTTTGTAAGCTAAATATTATTTTGATAACGTTGGGTTTATTTATTAAAATGTTTTATTATAAATTAACATTTGTATCATTAATTTATTGCTTTCCCTTGTCTTCTTTTAAACCAATCATTAGAAAGATGAAACATTTGTCTTTCCTGCAGGTTTATTTTTGGATTTATGATCCAGTCCACTTTAAAACCTTTGCCATGGGGTTGATTCTAGGTAGGATCTCTTTTACAATTCTGTATTCTTTTGTCATCGACACCAGGATGGCTTCATATAATTCTGTGTGTTTGTGTTTACAGTGATTGCCGTCATCGCAGCCACTCTCTTCCCACTCTGGCCCGCTGAGATGAGAGTTGGAGTGTACTACCTTAGCGTGGCAGCAGGATGTTTTGTCGCCAGCATCCTTCTCCTGGCCGTTGGTAAAAGTTCAACTAGGGATGCACTGAATTTTTGCCCACCGAAAATGATCAGCTGAATAATAGCATATGCAGTATTTGGTTTTAAGTTGACCTCTTATGCAAAATCGCTTTCATAAGGAGCTTTAACACTGCTGTGTGACAACAGTGTGTGAATATATCCAGCCATATATTCAGCCTCTAATGGTACAAATTAATCAATTCCATTTTTTATTATTACACTTGATAAAAACATTCTGCAGAAATACTTTGATTGACATTTTCTGACATTTTCATGTCATCAGAGGGGTAAAGCCCCACCCATTAATGATGATCTTTCTCTCATTAGCATAAACAGGCCTTAGTGAGAAGCAGTCTTCCCCCATTTGAGTTTTCACCTGCTGAAGATAATGTCAGCGACTATGATGCATTATAAATCTGGAGATTTAGTATGCACAAATGAACACCATGGTCTCCATAGACTGCTGCCACTATGCTGACACACAGGCATTTGTAGCTTCATCCTCTTTTGGAAATAGCACAATCTAATTTGAATTTAAATTTAAAATGGCACAATTTGGATCGAATCCTAAAAGAAGAAGTTTCAAAGAGTTATAAAAAAAAAAAAGCAAAAATATTTTACTTCTAAAAATCTTCTAAAATAATTGGTCTTTAAATATATGCTGAAAAAAGTGAACTGCGTTCAGCATGCTGGTTTCACTCTCGTAGTCCACCCGTAGTCACTGCGCAGAGTAAAGTGGCTTTCACACCAGACACGGAAAGCTCTGCGATATGAAACCCATTTATTTCAATGACACAAGTGTAGTTTTTTTCTCTATGTTGTACTCTTGTACATGTATACATCTATACATGAACTGCACATACTCACCTGAAAAGCAAATAACATGCCTTCTATTCATTTATTTTATAGAATGCATGTTCATTCTGCTTGCTAAACGTCAGTTAGCTACGGCAGTTAAATGACACCTTTTGACTCGTTCGCTATCAATACCATTTAACTGTCAATATGATTTAAGTATTGAATTAGCTTGTGTTTTATAAAATCAGAATAAGTTGAGTTAAATGTAAAACGTCTAGCAAAATTGCATTCTAGTATTTAATAGTGGTGTAACGGATCACAAATCTCACTGTTCAGATCACATTTTGTTTTTTTTTTATACACGGGATAGGACCATTTTTTTGCATCATCCTGAAAGGGGAGGAGACAAATGTAATTTGCTTTCCATTTATTACAAAAACAGTACTGCAGGAAAATTTTGATTTTAACAGACAGAACTGAGAACCTGCAATGTTATTAAAAATATAATGAAGAAATAATCAGCTGAATAAAAATAACTTGTAAAATATTCAGTACTGTGAACAATTCACTGTTACTACTACTACTGTTGCTGATGATGCTCAATGTAGAAATCTAACATTATCATTTATACAACCCATATTTATTTTAGTCTCAATAAATGATTCAGTTATTCACTCATAAAACTTCATGTTTCATTGCTAGATGTGTCATTTTTGCAGAATTATTCAGTGACATATTTCAACTACTTTCATATTTAAGCGTTGAGTTAAATGCATATGACGGTGATTTTAATCTTTACCAGAAACATCAGTGGTTTTATCTAAACCATAAACTGTTCTCCCCGTACTTCTGTGTTATTTGACTGTTTATATCTTGAGTCAAAAGACTAAAGACACAATCTCTTTCTTGATTTTTGTGTTTTTCAAACACAGGTTTGAATGCAGCGATTCGAAAAATTAATCAACTTAAGCAAATCACCATCATTTATCATTAATGCTGCATGGTTGTTGATCTTTTAAGGATTAATTGTGCAGCTCGCACTCAATGCATTAATGCAGGCTAAACAAGCTTAATAACCTAAGAAACCCACCACATCCTGAATAACCTATTACAACTTCTTTTGTTATCATTATATTTTACAGAAAAGCTTAAATACTTTCATACGTGTGATTTAAATGATGCGAGAGGTAATCTCTCTCTCTGTCTGTGATTGTTACAAATTTAGGAGGAATCTACCAGTAAAAAAAAATTATCAATCTGCGAGTCACGTATGTGTTTCGAACCATGGGTTGTGATCCGTACGCCTTAGGGATCAACCGTGATCCATTACACCGCTAATATTTAATAAAATAACAATAAAAAAAGTTTTGTTTTTTGGCCAAGTGTATTCACAATTTTCAATACAGTGCATCTCTACATTTAGCACTTCCACATCCTATTAAAGCCAGTGAACTGTCTCTATCTTCTCCTCATGCTCTGCTTTTTTCTGTTCAGCTCGATGCATCCTGTTCCTGATCATCTGGCTGGTGACCGGTGGCCGGCATCACTTCTGGTTCCTACCAAACCTAACAGCCGACGTGGGCTTCATCGACTCCTTCCGGCCCCTCTACACGCACGAATACAAGGGTCCGCGCTCCGGCTCCAAGAAGTCCAGCGACAAACCCGACAGCAAGAGCGCAGACTCCAGCAAAGCACAGAAATCCGACAGCGAGGACAAATCAGACAGCGAGAAGAAAGAGGACGAAGAGGATGAAGACGACAATAAAGACATGGAGGAAGGGGAGCATCAGACAGACACAGACAGCGACCGGCGGGAGGACGAAGGATCGCAGCACAGCAACGGCAACGACTTCGAGATGATCACCAGAGAAGAGCTGGAGCAGCACACGGAGGAGGAGGAGGAAGAGCAAAGCCAGACAAAGCCCTTGACTGTTCAGACATAAAGCTTTTCCTCACGCCGCACACACATTCTCTCATTCTCCATGTGGACCTGCTGACGTACTTCTGCCATGTTCAGAAGAAGTTTCCCCATTTCCGTTCTGGCTGAGATCTTCTGGCTTAAAGCTTAGATGAGAGCAGGAAACAGCTCACGATGATGACTATGGAAATATCGCAAAGGCTGTTTTGGAAACGCTTCCCCTGCGCACACACACAATAAATGCAACAACACAAGTGTCCCTCACCTCATGTTTTTCTTGGCTTTATTTTGTGTGTTCGCATCGTCTGACGTCAAGCTTTGTTGTGTAAACGTGATCATACAGACTGGAACGGTGAGCTTTCGCATTGGTTGATCGTTCGCCACTCAATAGAGTCAATGTTTCTTGCTTTTGGATCATTTGGACGGACCAACTGATTTTGTCTTAGATGCCCAATGAGTGTTACAATCAGTCAAAACTATCTCTCACATTTCTGTGTTGAATTCTGGGAGATCTTGCTCGTCTTGTCTGATGAGAGTCGTCGTTTTGTGACCCTTAAGAGAACTTGTCGATTTTCATGGAGAAGTTAATCAATTAAAATAAAGAAACGCCTATCTATAATTGACCTTACCGAGGCGGTTATTTCAAATCAACCACTCGAGATTGATGAGGTCTCCTGCATTCAGAAGGGGAAACTACATCACATTCGTGCCAAAATGATGCAGGATATTGATGCTTTTGTATTGATGTGTGTTCAAATTATGACCAAGTAGAGTTCAAATACATCCTCATAGCCTCGCTATCTCCACTCATCTGCGGTTTGAACTGCTTGTTGTGGTCCAAAAGAGCCCGTTTGTTCCTTAGTTTTGTTTTTTTTAGTGCCGAGGTCCAATACTATCCTTCCGTAGGGTTTTGCATACTATTGGCTGGAGTGTTCTTTTCCATTTAACTGTTTCTTTGACTCATACTGAGGATTATATTTAAGATTCATATACAAATGTATGTATAGATTCTATAAATCTACTGGGAGATATTGATGCCGACAGTTCAGGTTGAGAATGAACTGCGCTCTGTTTTATAATGTCAGACACTCAGCTTTGTGTACCCATGAATAGTTGGAATGCAGAAAACCGTGTGTGTGTGGCGCACGAGAGGCTGCAGCGGTGGTTTTTGGTGTATTTAAAAACAGAAGTGAGAAGTCTAGTTAAAGCATCCCTTGATTCACGTTCATCTCAAGTTCACAAGGAGCAGGGAAAAGGCTTCGCTCTCGAGTGAACGTCTCTCGTTCTTCTTCAAATGGTCTGAACCTTTAACCACGTCTGTAAGTAGATGATCTCGTCGGTTCCTGTAGAAATGCTGTGTTTTGTCCTCCGTCGTTGACTTTGAAGACCTGGACTGACTGGGCTTGACACCATTCGTGGAACTAAAGACGTTTGTTTTTACTTTCTATGGATCTTCGCTCACTTTTGTTTTCTGTTTTATTGTCTTTATGAGAGATAAAGATGATGATTTATGTGCCAGATTTGTTTTTGTTTTTTTAATTGGCAGGTTATTTCATTCGTTACTGGCTCATGTAAAAACATGTAGTTGCAGCATTTATAAAAACAAAATGAAATCCCATTATTCTGTTGTTTTTATGTGGTCAGCATCTTCAACTAACTAATCGTCCGTATTTGGATCAGTGTTGAGGACTGTCGTTTTTGCAATATCTGGAGAATAATTTGTCTGTCAGAAACTATATCTGTATCCTTTCATTGCAATAAAAATAGAAACACAAGTGATTTGTGCTGGTTTTATCAAAAAAGCTTAAACTCTGGGCTTTTAGATTTACTTATGCTTTTTAAAGTGATTATTGTCCACTTTTTATCTAGCTAACACTGATCTTTTAATTGCGATTCATTTCTTCAGCATTTACTCAACTGGTTACTTTTATGAATTTCTCTTCTGTTAAACACAAAGATATTCTGAAGAAACTAGTAACTAGTTGACATCCTTACAAATACTGAAAAATACTATACATTTAAAAAAAAAAAAAAAAAACTTTTTCAGTATATCTTTGTTTTCAACAGAAGAAGTTCACACAGGTTTGAATAAGTGTGCGTAAACTAGCAGAAGTATCGTTTTGAGTGAGCTAGTGCGAAGAACCCTGACCTTAACTAGATACATGGAACAAAAACCATGCCTTAATTCTAGTCAAAATTCTGCATTAGAAAATCTAAATTATAAATCAGATGAAGTCACATTTATGAGATGTAGAGTCAGAACAAATGAAAGCCAAAATTATGAGATAAATGGCTAAATTGGCAGTCAATTTTATTATTATTAAGTCAGAAAAACAAAACAGTAAAAATTTCAAGCTAAATATCAAAATTAAGTTAAAAACTTTAATTATGAGTGGTAAAGTCAGAACAGTCAAAAATAACGAGATAAATGTCAAAATTGACAGTTACATTTTTTTTTTTCAATTTTAATTTGTAAAGTCAGAAAACCAGTCAAAATTACGAGACGTGTCAACATCATAAAACTTAAAATTATGAGTTGTAAAGTTAAAAAAAAAGTCAGAATCATGATAAAATGTCAAAATAGACAGTTAAATTTACAATTATGAGTAGTACAGTTGAAGAACACAAGTCAGTAATGGAAAAATTGAGTCAAAAAATGTGAAACTGAGTTGTGAAGTAAAAAAATCAAGACAAATAGTCATACACAAATAGTCAGACAAAATTATGAGATAATGTCAAAATTGACAGTCAAGATTTTTTAAATTATGGGTTGTAAAATTAACAAAATAAAGTTAAACTAATGAGATAAATGAATAGTTATGGGTTGTAAAGTCAGAAAAAGACAGTTAAATTACAAGATGTCAAAATGTAAAATTAACAATTGTAAATAAATCTAAATTATAACCTAAAAAGCCCAAACTATGCCTTTGCTGTCAAAATAGAGGATAAAGTGGTTTTATGAACAGCGGCGGTTCTAGGATTTGATTCATCAGGGCGGTTTCCACAGTAATATTCATACCTCGTGTAAATGACAGGATTGGTTTTCTTTTTTACATGAGAACAATAGTTTAATAAAGAGTCCCTGAAATGTTTTCAAGTGACAAAAACGAAACAACATCCAACATTACTTTTATTGAAATAATACAAACAAGACAAATACATTTTATAGGATCTCTTATTTACATCAAAAGGTAAACAGCTTACCAGATACATTCAGCTATATTAGATTGTGGCTGATATGACTTTGCAGGACTTGGACTATTTGATAAGAAATGCAAAATACGGAGCATCTGTAAAATTAATCAATTGGATAAAAACCAACTTAAATGGTAAAGTTAACGAATAGGGGTTTTAAAAATGCGTTACGTGCAGCAACATCCGGTATGGCCACAGGGGGGCTACAGAGCGCTTCCACAACTGCTCGGTGTTGACAGACTCCCGCCTGACTTAACATGTCGTGTTTTTTACATGAAATGAGGAACTACTGTCATAACAGACCACACACACAAAGCTTTCTGTGTGCTTGTGGTCAAATTTATTCAACTGACATTCATAGGAAAAGTTAATTCCCGTTCATTTCTAATCCATTAATGCGTTTCTCAAGCAACAATTTAGAAGTGCTGAATGTGCAGAAAACAATATGATGTTAAATAAACCTTGCTCATTTGATGTATTAGTTAAAACAGAATCATCTCTGCCTGTTCTAACACAATGACACTTTCACATACACTTAACCAAACAAAATGTCCTGTTGCAATCAAATGATGAGCAATCCAGGCTAACCTCTGACTAAAGCATTATTTCTAAGGCAAAGAAACTCCTGGAATGTGAATTGAACAGCCTGCGAGCGTTTGATGGTGATGCTTCAGTTTTCAGTTTCGGAGGAGTCGCTGGCGTCTGTTAGACGTGTTTGCTTCTTGCGGACGTTCCAGTGCAAACACTGAGCCAGACTGTCAAACCAGTCGTAAACCAGATCATGACAGCAGATGGAGGGGACTGGAAAGCAGGAGGTTGTGATCTTAATGCTGTGGAAAGAAAAACAAACTATGACGATGAAGAGATTCCACAGAGAGTTACAACTCATTCACGCCAAAGACCATAATCAGAACAACAAATAGAAGGCAGAGCTAGAGATATCATTCCCATTTAAACAATCGACAATTCAAAACAGTTAAATAATAGGAGGAAAATAGATTATCTGAGTGTTGCTCATGTTGGAAATGAATGGGAAACCATCATTTCTCCCTAATGTAAACCCATCTGATATTTTTGCCACACATTTCACTATAAAATTGAAGAGCATCAAAGCTCAGTGGAGAAACAAGCGTCCACTTTTATTAACTGAACACGCCAGAGTAAAGACTGATTCATGGTACGTCAAAACTTGTGCCAACATGAAATGGACTATTTAGTATCATCGAGTTAAACAATCCAGCTCTATTGCTTTGAAAACTGGTTTTTCCAGACATTTAGGCTCACTGAATGGAGTTTGTTTGTAGTATATATAGTTTGTCAGCTCCTCTGATTGACATCTGCTTTTAAGATAAATTGTTAATAGTTCTAAAATAAGCCTCTAGTTTCAGAATTTTGTCAAATAAAACAAATGCTGGGTGACTGTTTTAAAGAGCACCTGAAATCAAAACTAACCATATTGGTTTTGTTAGCTCACATTGCTAGTTTTGTGACAAACAATTCATCTGTGTGTGTCATTAAGAAAAATAAGTAAATATTTGCCCTGGAAAAACCTGAAAATGTGCATCCTGTGTGTTTTCAATTCAATTCTCACATCACGTCTGTCTGAGGTACTGACAGATGGAGGGGCGTGGTTAAGTATATTAGGAAAATATTATTACGATAATATTATTACGAAATCCCACATCATCTTATTACAAAGAGATGGTTTAACCTAAAATGTCTAAAAACTTTTAAAATAGCCATGGCTTTAGCATGCTGTCTCAGGAAAGAGCCCTGAGGTCAGAAGATGTTCAAGCTTGGGGCTCCCTCTGGTTTCATACGGGGAGAGGTGAGCCTGAGCTCAGGTAAGTCTTGAGAACTCCCTAGTATTATGCTAGAAAAATAAAGGGGGGAGAAGTCAGGGAATGGGGGATTCTTCAAGATTAAGATGGCTAAGTTAAGGAAATCTGGCTATTTATTTGCGATTTGGATTCATAAATATGTTTTAACCTAAGATGTCTAAAAACTTTGTACAATATAAATGGTCCCAACCCATTGATATTTTCAGTTTATGTGAGAAATAAGAACTTTTTTTGTCCCTGCAAAATTCTCTCTGAATCAGGTTGGAGAGTTCATAGATTGCAAACATACAGTGGTCTCGACCCTTGCCATTACGTTAACTTTTCGCAGTCTCTCAGTTTCACTGATTTTTTTGTGTAGTTTGACATCGGTTTGTGTTTTGCGATTGGCTGTAGACCATTGTCAATCAATCTGCTCTGTGCCGTGTCTCCTGTACACTACAGAAAGCGTTCAGCTTCCTAAATTACAGAAATCTTTTATCACTAGCAGTGTGACTCTGAAATGCTGTACGGTATGTTTGCAAGTTTTCTCCTCACATTGTGGACGAAACATTCTGCATCCAAAAAAAGATCTGTACCCAAAAGGCAGAGGAAGATGCTAATTATTGCACAAAAAAATTCTGTTTTTGTCTTCCCTGTTTAACGGCTGTTGAGTTTCCTGTTCAGGTTCTTTGTATTAGTCTCTATAATGACATTCTTTCCAGTGGCTTTCGCAATGTCGCCGAGTCACTAAAAATAGCAGTGACAGGATACTTCCTTGTGGTGCTCCTAGCTCTTGTTAATGTGGGTAAAAGAGGGAAATTACTAGTCAGACTTTAAATGATCTGATTAATCTGCAAATGCCCTTGAAAAACAAGCTGATATAAATCTTTCAAAATCGCTAACTTCAAAGTGATGTCACACACCTTGTTCAGGTCGAGCATTAGTCAAGTTTGGAAAGAAGCCTTCGGAGGAGTGTAAAAGTAGTGTGTAAACCGTTTGAAAGCATGTAAACATCATGAGCTTTACTTTGATAGATCACATGACCAAAAGACGCAATACTGGTGGTACAAAAACCAGTGTAGAAAGAGGTCAAGTGTCTTTTGGTGTAAAAGAATAAAAAAAAAAAGTTTGTTGTAGGATACTGCCAGAGAAAATGAGACTCAACAGTAATTCAGTTAATTTCAAGAGTTCACACTTAGCTGATGATTGAGAAGCAAAAGCCTGTTTGGCAGAGAGGAAGAGCGCTCTGAGCTCAGAAGATCCTCGAGGGCTCCCTCATGTTTCATCGGGGTAGAGAGGAGTCTGAGCTCAGGTAAGTCTCAAGATCTCCCCTGTATTATGTTAGAAAAAAAGGGAGAGGAGCTAGGGTGGATCATTCATGATGAAGATGATTCTGCATGATTTGGATTCATGTGATTGCTAATGTGGGACCAGCTGTGGTCAATCATAGTCATGTGATCCTCTCGAAATTAGATTATGAATAAACTTCACAAAAGTCATGTTGCTAGCAGTAAATGGTTTGTATTTCAGGTGTAGTACTATTCTTTCAATTTAAAGGTGTTTGTGCTGGGAAACACCCACACACTCACCCATTCAAACACAACGACCAATTGAGTTTCTCTAATTTACTTTTGCCGCAAGACTTTGGACTGTGAAACCCAGAGTAAACCTATGAGGCCAACAAAGGCAGAACATGCAAACTCCACACACAAAAAAAATCTGGACTCAAACCAGTGACCTTCTTGCTGTGAGGCAATCATACTAACCACTGAGCAACTGCAGTATTATAGTATTTGTTAAAAAATGACAACAGTATTTGTTCATATGTGTGAGAATAAGGAAATAAAGTGGTGATCAGAATGAGACAATGCACTGTTTGATGCATCAATTTGCAACAGGCCAGTGTTTAGAGTGAAAGTGTTTAAACTCGCATTGCATTTTGTGACAAGGCCTTATTATATGCAAAAGATCACATACAGCCTCTTTAATAATAATAATAATAATAATAATAATAATAATTCCTGACAATAATATAGCGCTTTTCTGAGCACTCAAAGCGCTTTACATATAAAGTGGAATCTCCTCATCCACCACCAGTGTGCAGCATCCACCTGGATGACTGGATGACATTTTGCGCAAGTCTGCACACCACACACCAGCTGATTGGTGGAGAGGAGACAGAGAGATGAAACCAATTATGATATAAGGAGGGTTAGGAGGCCCTGATGGACAGAGGCCAGTGGGCAGAATTAGCCAGGATGCCGGGGTTAAACTCCTACTCTTTTCAAAGGACATCATGGGATTTTTAATGACGACAGAGAGTCAGGACCTCGCTTTAACATCTCACCCGAAAGACGAATAAACATTAGATCATCAAAATGATAATAATTTAAAATCCAGAAAGCTATCTTCTAAGCTGATATGTCTAGAACAGGAGTGTCCAAACTCCTGCTGTGTCCTGCCTCAAAACACACCAGCAAGGGTGTTTATAGAAAGCCTAGTAAGAGCTTGATTAGCTAGCCCCGGTGTGTCTGATTGGGGTTTGAACTTAAGAGTTTGGGCTCCCCTGGTGTAGAAACTCTCATTCAGGCGTAATGATCAAGGGAATTTGCTGCTGTAACATGGCTGAAGCAGGCACAATACTAACAAGCAGCATCAGAAAATACTCTCCAGCTAGCTAACCAAGTACAATGCTGCATTATATCATTGTGAAAGCTTTGCTTAAAGTGCAGACCTGACTATATATTATGCTGTTGTCAGACCTGAAGATTGGTTGAATGGATTTAAAACTCTGGGGATATAGCAAAATTAGCTCTATTTTCAAAAAAGATGAAGTGCTCCTTTGACACTAAAAATGCTAACATCATCTGAACTGTACAAAGGTGAAGTGATAATATCCACTGACACTGTTGATGCTCATTTCCATAACTGTAATACAGCTGTCATTGTATCACTGGATTATGGTAAATGCTGTTTGCTTACAGGCTTATATATAAAAAAAAAAAGTGTCACCTATCGCCATGCTGGATCTCCTGCCTCTTCCTGCCATCAAATGAGACCCAGGCTGTGTTGCGAGCATCAGGTGATAGTGTAATCTGCAGAATAAATGCAGACTCATGTGAGAAGAAGCTATTAAAATCATGTTAACAAATAACTTGATGTTATGAAACTGAAATCGTTTATGTATGTTTTTATACTTTATACTGTAATTTATATTTTATTCCCACTCATACCATGAGCTCCACGCCAGCAGGCACCACGATGGGTCTAAAAGAGAGCGAGTGAGGGCAGATGGGGGTGACCATGATGGCAGGGACGTTGGGATGGATCATGGAGGCTCCGGCTGCAGCAGCGTATGCCGTGCTGCCCGTGGGAGTGGAAACTATTACACCTGCACAAAAACAAGCCACACATTTACATCTATTTTCATGTCAGCTGGACGCTCATGTCAAGGCAAATAAGAAACACCATGATGTATCGAGACATCGGTTTGGACTTAAAGAAATTGAAAACAACAACAACAACAACAGTCAGGCTATGATGCAGTCAGTTTTTTTTTTTTTTTTTACACATTTTTACACATTTCTCAGCTGTAAAATGCAATTTCAAAGCCACACTACAATTGAAACCTCATCTGGAGTCTGATATGTTCAACAAGGTTGGATATATACGCAAAAAAAAAAAATCAACTATTATTACAAAATAAAATAAATGCTTTTAATTTCAGTATACATTCAAGGGGGATCAATGTTTTTAAAAAATACTTTAAGACAATAATAATTATTTTTGAATAGTTTTAGGACAACTTTAATAAAAGGTTTTGAGTCGCTTCAAATGTTGAAAAAAAATTTATTAACTTTGTTGAGTTTTTATTAGATCAATGTTATATTATAAAAAATGTGATATTTATTGATTAATAAAAGGTTAATAAGAGCCTTTATTCAAATCTTTCTTTTAATAGAATACAGCCTTTAATAATAAAGGATAAAGAAATAAACTGCGCAATAAGATCCCTATTATATAGCAGCTTTTGTATCTATTTTGAATGGGAAACCACATGGGAAGAGCTCAGAAGCAATATTGCAAGAAATGCAAGTTAGAAATGCTGAGGCGGCTAAACTGGGTTTTAGTTTGGGTAGTTAAATTGCAGTTAAATTAAATTTAGTTCTATTAAACTTTACTTTATTAAATACATTTTACTATTTAAGTTTTTCTTTTGCCTTGTAAATGAAAAAGTATTTTTAAAAATAAGTTTCCATAGGCTTAAGATAACAATGTTGACAAGATAAAAAGTGCTCTCAGAAACAATGTTTGAAAAAAGATTGTTTGATTGGGCCAGTCAGTATGAGCTCACCATCTCCTTGTACAGAAGTAATGAGGCGTCCATCCAGGTAAAGGTCAACATTAGACAGATATGACGAGGGCCCTCTGTCCACAACCACCTCATTAAGCACCTTTATAAAACACAGAGAACACTCATATTTCATATACAATATGCTGGATGAACAAACACATCTAACAAACCCAGACGCGTTTTTTTTTTTTAAATGAACACAAAAAGAATATAATTGAATAACTCCTACAGTAATCCTTGAGTAAACTGTCCCTTTAAGGCATGTGACTGTGTGAACATTTCAATATTTACAATTTTAAAACATCCGTCCACAAGAAAGTTTTTGTAATTTTAATAAAGATTAAAAAAATATACAATGCCGACTATGCAGTGCTGATTATTCAATATCTGTACCAGAAGAGTGAATACCTGAAAACTGCATATTTATTTGTTATATATTATTCAGGATTCACTCCTCTACAAAATCCCCCCAATCAATCCAAATAAACCTGTTAAATCATCTGGTGAAATAGTTTTTATGTTGCAATAGACATCACAGAAATACAAAATATGGTAATGTCAGATTTTCTCAATATCGTGCAGCCCTAATTTAAGTATACATATATTTGTTAAACTAATTTCCATGACTTTTCCAAAACTTTGTGGGTTTTTCTGTTTTTCCAAAACTTTTCCAGGCCTGGAAAATGCCATGACTTTTCCAGGTTTTCCATGACCGTATGAACCCTGTTGTTGTGGCTGGTACAGATTATACCACCAGATCCATTACCAACTTATTGATTGGTGGATTATTATTGAAGTTTAAATCTGCATGTGTTTGCTTTAAACAGGTTTGTTTGCCAAAACACGCTGGCAAAAAAAAGACACTTGCAAGTTGCTGATTTTGTGTTGTTCATTAAGTACATTATGAATATTGTGTTACCTGTAGCTGTAGAGTTATTTTGCCAGCCTCATTGCTGATATGGTTGTGAGGAACTACTCCATTCTCTTGCGTAGTGAAGAGCTGCTCATTTCTCTGGAACATGCCTTTCACCACTTTAACCTTTAGACGACTGCGCAGGATGATGGCAGCATTACCTACAAGAGCCAGACACAAACACTCAAAAACAACATCTCAACTACAACACAATACAGAACAGAAATACAGAGCTTTAGGTTTTTAGCTGAAGTATAAACTATTACTCCACCATGTGTATGTACAAATGAATATTTTATTTTAAAGTGCTACAAGACAATGTTAGCAACACTTTTTTATTCATTGTTTTCTATTCTCAGCCTTGACTTTATATACTGTAGCATGTTAAGCCATCATGCGTAATTTAGACCTTTTTGTAATTTTAGGTAACTTGTACATTATCTATGTTTTGTCTGTTTTACATTTACAATACAGCTTTGATCATGGAAATTTCCGTCCTCCAGCTGTTGATTTTGTTGAATACAGCCCTTTTTTGTCACTGTTTGATGGCTTAAATCACTTCAGAGTCACTTAGTGTTCTTGTTGAATTTAGAAAAAAGGTCTGGCGAAAAATAGTTCTTGGGAAACCAGGCCTGATGGGGTTGTTGACAACCCAGCGAGAAACGTTTTGTGTGCTTAAAGGGTCAGTTCACCCAAAAATGAAAATTCTGTTATTAATTAATCTCATTCCAAACCCCTGAGACTTTCTCTTATTACTCAGAACAAATTCAAAGATGTCTTAGATAAAATACAAAAGCAACAGTCACGAGACATTTAAAATACACTTACAAAATCAAGAAACGGAGCTAAAATATTATCAAAATGTTCCATGTGACTTCAGTGTCCTGGCTTAAGTCCCTCAATCGGCCTTTACGATCATGGCCTTCCAATATTCCCCATCCACCAAATTGGCTCTATCAATGTCTCTTTACTCCACCAATAGCTGGTGTGTGGTGAGCGCACTGGTGCCGTTGTCCTGTGGCTGCTGTCACATCATCCATGTGGATGCTGCACACTGGTGGTGGTGTGAACAGACCCCCTTCATGACTGTGAAGCGCTTTGGGTGTATGGCCATACACGATAAATGCGCTATATAAATACACATTACATTACATTCAGTGGTTCAGCTATAATCATACAAAGCTCCAAGAACTTTTGTGTGCTAAAAACTATAGAAACAATTTTGTTTTCGACAATGTTTTTGGTTCCTTTCTTTTAATGTCTCAGGACCATCGCTGTCTATAGAGGGTCAGAAAGCTCACAGATTTTATCTAACATATATTAATTTGTGTTTTTAATATGAACAAAGGTCTCAGGTGGTTAGAACCACTTGAGGGTGAGAAATTAATAACAGAATTCAGATTTTTGGGTGAAGTAATCTTTTAAAAGTAGGGAGGCAAAAATGTGTCTGTGCTTATTTTAAATCAAACACTGGCAGGTGAAATACAGTGAATCATCCAATGGCTAACAATAGGCATTATTTAGAGTGCACTCACACTATGCTATCTGAACCGTGCCCAGACGTGTTTCCCAGTTCGTTTGACAAGTGTGAGTGCTCAAAATCTGGTTTAGGTGCGGTCCAGTTGGCTGGCCCTGGCCCGGTTGGAAGAGGTGTGCCAAAGGGCTTTGGAGCGGTACGCTTGTAGTGTGAGTGCAAAGCGTGCTTGAGCCAGAAACTGAAGACGCAACTTCATATATAAGGAACTGTTTCTTATGGATTTATTAATCATTCTTACTTTTAAATGAACACAAACTGTCATAGTTTATCAAAGATGCAAACCACTCACTGCAAATCAGTTACACCTTCAGCAAACCTCCAAATATGTGCAGCACAAGGACTTAATCATTTATGAGCATTGAAAGTTGTGAGTCTGTTTGGCAAAATATTTGACTGCATGTCACTGCATCCCAAATGACTAAAAATAATACAAAACGATATTACTAAAGCAATGTCAACTCTGCTGAGTGAGAGCGCTTCTCTTCCTGTTAACTAATCAGTCGCATCATCGATAATGCAAGCGTGCTTTGGTTCAGAATGTAAAGATGCAGGGTGAGTGCAGGTCGTCGGCGGAGAGGGGAGGGGGACACATGACGTTTTGGCACTGTTCAATGCAACTGTACCTAGTGAGAGTATGCCCTTAATCCCCCTGATGTGTAATTTGATCACATAGAGTGATTCACTGGCATTGTAGATGGTTGAAAAACTTCAATAATTTTACCTTCAAACACTTTATCCACCTCAGTTTTAAAAGACTCGAACTTGAATGGAGTGAGAAATCCTAAAGATCCCAGATGGAACGCCATGACGGGAGGAACGCTGCCCTTAAACAATTGAGACAAACACCGGGATGTTAAAAACACATTTGATGCTTAAATCGCTCTCTGAATAACTAGTTTTTGCATATCCAAATTCTCTCAGGAACACAGCGAGCATATTCAGGAAAGCAGTTGAGAATGACCTAGCAAGAACAAACAAATAAGATGAGGTGAGAAAAATACCTGGAAAAGAGACGATGCATACAGAAGAGTGCCATCTCCACCCAAACAGATAATCAAATCGATGCAGTCCGAGATGTCATCATAACCTGTACAAGGCAAACACAATGATAGGTCACTCATTTGCCTAATGCATCCAATCTTTTATTGGTTAATGATGTGCCATGGTTATGCAAAATCAGGTGAACCTCACAAAAATGAGTTCCTAGCACTATAAGGTTACAGTACCTTCCCTGAATGTGCACAGTTGATTGCAGATGGCTGAAAATGACTCATCGCTCATGAGAGAGCCGTCATCCACAACTTTCTTTTCCACATAAACCATGAGATGTTTCTCCTGATGGTGAAATAATTTGGATAAAATTTGTATAATCAAATTTAACAATCAATCTAATCACACAAGGAAAAAAAATGCACGATAGTGCCAGTAAATCAAATAATCGTGTTGCTTCCAGTGTGGCTTATGAGTAACCAACCTCCACGAGGAACCTGCAAAGCTCTTTGAACGGCTCCAGAAGAGTCTCATCTCGAATCTTTCTGATGACCAGAACGTTTAGCGGTGGTTTGCTCCAGGTGAGCCGCTGACTAGCTGGATCCTGAATGTGCCTGCGGGGAAAATCGACAGAGTAGGTAAACATTGTGTGTGTCACCACTGCACTGCAAAGAGTAAAACTAAATGCCCTTTGTCCCTTTTTTTTTTTTTTTTTTTTTTTGTACTCCTGAATCCTTGCGCAACTTACAATTCTGATCAAATGGAAGCACTGTAATGTGGACTTCTGCTTTTTGCTTCTGCCAATTTTAGGATTAAACCATTTTTCAATAATAATTTTAAAAAGTTTAAGCAAAATGATAAAGAATTCATTAAAGTTAGATTGATTTGGAAAATTCTTTAGGGGAGTTAATCAGGCATAAATATAATACACTACAAGCATTAAAAAACAAAAGAGCAGAGGTGCCCTAACGTTTTCTTATGAATGGATAAAAATCAAATGATCGAGGCTAGTGGGTTGAAGTTGAATATAGTTGGCATTGCTAATTTCCTAATTTATTTAATAATATTTAAAAATGACAATAAAACACTGCTTTATATTAATTAAAACAGTATTTTTAAATTTTATATTGAACTTAGCACAGTAAAAACAAAACAATCTCATTTATAACAGAACTTCATAATTTTTGCCTTGATTTGATTTTACATTTTTTTAAAAATCAGATTGAAACAATAAAACAGCAATAAAATAAAAATGAATAAAAAAAAGATGAGGACAATCGTTGATCTCTGAGTTAAAGACATTCCACCCATGCCTCTCTATTATTCTCTCTTCTCTCAGATGGGATGGAGGGCAAATTCAAAGGTTACAATAGGCCAACTTTGGCCTCTGAGCCCTAGTTTGGGCACCTCTGCAATAGAGATTTTTTTTTTTAAATATACTGTGCTTTATGGTAGAGCTGCACAATATTGAAAAAAATACAACATTGCAATTTTTTTGTTCTGCCCTATATATTGCAATATGAATACAATCTGGCTAGATGAGCTGAATAACTTTTTGGAAAGAATTTATCATTTTAGATTGATTGGGACGATTCTGTATACAGGGTTTCTGCAGGATTCTTTAAGTCAAATTTAAGACTTATTTTCAACATAATATTTCTTTTTTTTAATGACAAGTTAAACATTGTTAAAAATATATTAATTGTGGAGGCTATTACATAAATAATCAAAAATAAGTATTTGTTGGCTTTTGGTCCAAATTAATTGAGTATAACTTATTTCCAACCTAATGCATTTCTTTTATAAAACCTTAAATTTCATGCCTATTTATAAATATTAGGTCTACTCACCCTTCTGTAAATAGTTTTTGTTTGAATGGAAGATAACGTAAAACGATATATTGCTCTGTTATTATCATGAAAAGTTTTTAGTTTTTTTTTCCCCTCGTTTTTTAAGATGGATTATTGATAATTAGATGGATGTTGACCCAATTGGGTAGCTTTACTTCGACAGAGGAAAATTAAGATCTGTTTAAAGTTATTAAAGACATCCAACACAATATTTACAACATTTTAAGACTTTTTAAGGCCCCGCCGACACCCTGTGTATAGGAGTACATAGAATATAATGAACAACCTCGAAGTATAGAGATATTCAATAAAGAAAAAAATACAAATTAAATAAAAAGCTTTTTATATTTTTTAAACTGTATCCAGGTAAACGGTAATTGAATAATCAAACGTAAAATAATACTGCATAGTGTTCGTTTTATAAATAATTAAATAACATTAATCGTTATTAATCACCTGAAGTTTTTTAAACCCCTCACACTGTCATAGGCCTCAAAAACACTCGCGAAATGATCAATTATAATCCAGACTCAAAACGACGTGACTATTGCGAATGATCACATTACAATATCGATGCTGAAATGATACATATTGTGCAGCCCTACTTTACGGTTTTCCAGGGAGTCTAGCCATATTCAGGAACAGAAAATGATTAATCAAACCTAAAATAGCATTGCATAGTCTTTATTGTACAAATAATCCAATTCTAGAAGCCTTTTGAAATGCTCACACATTCACAGGCCCTAGAAACAGATGCAAATGATAAAGGCTCACACCTTTAGGGTTCAACTTTGCAGTGACTCCATAAATCATGTATTTTGAACTGTGGCTCCTGATCAACTATAATTCTAGCTCAACAATGAACATCCTGCGATGTGACTTACGGATATGCACATTGCAATATAGATGCTGAAATTATATATTGTGCAGCCCATAGTGTAAATAGTTCAATATTTTAAATACACACAAATAAAATGCACATTTTATTGAATCAAAGAATGGGCAAGTCAGACTGCTAGGTCTCTGCAACTCAAAATGAATGCAACTCTAAAATTTAATCTTACACAAAATCATATTCCATCTTCAAATAAAATGTACAAGACATAACTAACCTAAACAGTACATCAGATATCAAGCCATGAAATCCCACATTACCCTCTGCATGTGGTTTGTCCCGGAGAGTGTAAAGCAGGCATTGTGTTTTAGGAAGGGGCGCTTTAGAAAACTCCGGTAAAAGAGGTTATGACAAACACAGCAGTGCTCAAGTGTGCTCCCCTTCAGCTCCATCCAACAAACTCCACTCAACCAATCAGAATCCAGTAAGTGCTTGTCCCAATCCTTTGCTTGACTCATTGTTTAAACAGTAACAAATGTGATGTAACCCCTTACCTAAAAAGCACTGAACTATGATTACTCACATGACTGAGGTCGGGTTGGGAAGAATGCACGCTTTGGGTCCAAAGTGGGTAGCAGGATATGGTCCATGTAGAAAGTGTCCTCGTCTGCAACAACCAAGCACTTAAGTCACTTCACATTTTTTATTAAAAGTAAAACAGGTCTTAATGGCATATTTTGTACCTGCACCTATCCCATCTTTTCGGGCAACTGTCGAAAGTGTCTTCAGCTGATTCAGAGGCTTCTGATCCTTGCTGCTCAGGCAACCAATGCACGTTTCCTCCTGACAGGTGTTCTGGACAGTCTGGCCTCCGCGGAGACCTCTTCACCTCTTTCCGTTTCTTTGGAAGTTTTCCTTGCCGGTCCTGCTGCCTCTGTGGCCTTTTAGAACAGCCACCCTCCTCTGCTTTTCTGGAGGGCAGCCCGTCGTCCATGCCTTCAGTTCTTATGGAAAAAAAAATAATAATAAACCTAGTCAACATCATTATAAGATAACTGGGGAAAAAACGACATTAACAGAGAATTAACAAAAGCAAAAGTACTCTATTAATCCACAAAAACACAGTACTGTTACTGTACTTCATTTATATTTTTGTTCTGTTGTTTTTATCTAAGTTTTTAATTATTTTTTAACAAGAATAATTCATTCTTTCCTAGTAGAGGTACTCAAGACATATGGTGAAATTGTTTTCACGTCACTTTTAAACTAAAGGTAGCCTAATACTGTATTCTTTTTATCGGACAGCATTATACTTTAATACACAACACCTGTATTCTCATACTTTAGTATCTTGTTGATCAAAGCAGATATTTTATATGGCTTTTGTGAACAAAAAAATAAATAAAACAATATTTAGCTAGTATGTTATGCATATTTCACATCTGATAAAAAATACTTAAATGTTCAACTCCACTAGTTTAACAGCATATTATACATGCTTCTAGAATGTCACATTTCCTTAACAAATCAGGTGATTTAAGGTAACTAAGGGCATAAAAATTGTACATCATAGATAAAATACAGTAAACTGCTCATTTAAAATGTGCACTAAAAGCTTAATGTTGAGAAAACTATTCTGTGGACATGCGTTAACTGTCCGTGTTTTTATTATCTACTATAATAGCTTTGAATAACAACTCGCACTATAAGAGCTGATAAAATAACGTTACACATCTAAGTTAAGATGTTTCACACAGACAAAGGCAGTATTTTCTTAATACTAAAATATCTTAACTACAAACAAAGACTTTGCAAGTCACTAAGATCAATAATCATTAACACATTTGACACACTGTCATGAAAACACGAAGTAGCATGATTTTTCCATCGATCAAAACTTCCGTGAGTTAGCCGCGCAGACAGCTAAATAAACACAGTTCCCATCCGCTTACCAAACGACAGGAAACGCCGCGGAACTTCCCTTTTGGACAGTCTTTGGAAAACGTAAATTTATTGGACTACGCTGAATTATCTTAAAACCAACCCTATTTCTGCGGAACCAGTCTTTATACGGCTTAGCTAGCTAGTAGAGTTGGTTGCCGACAGTGACATCACGAGTGTCCTCGTGACGCGCGCTACTGCGCAGCTGCAGAATCTCTGTAGAAACAGATGATAAGAAAATGTTGTCAAATCTACACCGTGTTCGTTTTAATGACTTTATTGATTTCACTGTCCTTTGTGTGGTTCAATTACATTCATCCAGTTTTTCTTTTCTAGCCTTTGTAAAATTTTTCTCAAATTATTTTTGAGAATCGTCTATTTTCTAACCTATCCATATCATTTTCTAATCTGTGTTTAATTCTTGTAATAACATCTATTCTACTTGTCATAGAGGATAAAACATTAAATATTCCACAATATTTTAAGGCTCTTCAGTCGAACAATTTCTTTATATAATAATTTAGAGCTTGACATAACTAGAAAGACATATATTTGGTATGATGCTGTTTTAAATCATTTTGAGTATTTATTGGCTTTCTTTGTTTAATAACCCTGAAAAAACTTATAATGTATAAGGTATAATTATAATAGCATACTATAATATAAAGTATTATATAATATATATTGATCAAATTAACACATTAGTTTTCATAGTCAAATTTATTTTAACATTAGATAGCCTACAAAAACTGCGTATGTGTATGGCACGAGCTTCTCAAAATGCCACTGTAGTCTTAAGTGCTGAGAATTTATAAAGTTTACTCCTACTTTCAAACTTGAAGGTAAAAAAAAGAGACAAATTTCCTAAAGGGCATCTATGATGAAAATCAACATTTGTTGATTTTTAAGGTATACCGCGCTTTGGAAAAGTCAAGGTTTTAAAACCAACCAAAATTTTCTGTAATACCGTTCCTAAGCTATGTGTAAGGTTTTGTAATTTAATTTTTTTTAGACAACAGTATCTCCAGCAGAAAAGATATCCAAAGATGCCATTCTAAAATGTAATGAAATCTGTGTTTTTGAAACTAATGAAGACAGCAGAAGTCAATGATTCATATGAATTATTTAGCCTGACATGTTTACTGCTCCAAAATATTTAAAATCTTTCAAAAAGTAAAATATATCGTAAAATATATATATATATATAAAATATATATTTTTAAAGGGAGATTTTTTTAGTTTTTTTTCCAGACATTTAAAATGAATTTAATTTAGAGCGATGAGCATAATATCATGATACCGTGAAATTTTTATCCAAGGTTATCATACCGTCAGAATTTTATACCCGCCCATGCCTACAAGTCTCTTTTTTACATTTCTTGATGTTAAAATAGGACCCAACTCCCAGTGATTGTGAAGCCCACTGCAGCGTGATGTAGGAGTGCGGTGTTCCCCGCCAGGCACCATGTTTGTATAATAACATGCATACACGTTCACAGACCATTTTTTGTAATTAAACTGGAATTAAAATATCTCTTCCAACTCACTGAGATTTGTATAAGTTAAAAATGTTTTTAAAACAGAGCATGTTTATAATAGGGTATATGCAGAAGTATGCTGAAGGACTTTAAATTTTGCAGTATGCTGGGGCAATCGCTTCCAGTGAACAGTATGCCATTACAAAATTGGCGCATTTAAGGTCTGTTTTCTTTAAAAAATCAACAATCTTCACTGCCTGATGGATATACAATATAAAGTAGGTCTCACAATGTACAAGAAATGTAAATTTTTTGCGCCATGTCTTTAAAATATAAACATTTATTTTACCCAAGTGTATTCAATGGAGTTTCTGCATTATATCTTGACAGGCACGTGCATGTAAATGGCTTTTCATCTCGTTTTACACTTGAACAACTAAATGAACACTGAAGTTTACTTAACTGATTGTATTTTAATTATATTACAACATGAATGCTGTAAAAGGAACCGTATAAAAATGAAAAAAGTCACATTAACCGTTCGCCGAAGGTTTATCAGTATGGGAAGGATAGTAATATAATCACCACGGCCGCATGGTGTCAGTAAACATGCAAATGTATGTGTGTGTGCGTGTGTGAACACTGCAAAGTGCATTTGTGTGAGACTCATCATTTTAGAAAGGCTTTAATAAACTCCAGCACAAATACATGAAATAAACTTACTTGGTATTTTTGACTAATGAACTGTATTTCAGCTTCATACGAGTCTGTTTCTATCACTGACTGCAGTTTATCTGATGTAACGCATGATGAGAAGCAGACACACATTTGGGAACAGTGCATGGGGAGAAGCAGCTCATTTGCATTTAAAGCCACAGGCTACAAAAACAGCTACTCGCATTCATACACCAAAATGGGCAGATTCTGGAGGCTATAATAAGTTATCTTATGGGTATTTGGGCTAAAACTATACAGACACATTCTGGAGACACCAAAGGCTTATCTTAGACCTTGTAAAAAGAGTTAAATAGGTGCCCTTTAAAGTTGCAATCACTCTTACCTAGTTAAGACAGCTCAGCAGGCCTTTCGAGTGGTTAGGAGTTGCAGTAAGGGCTTGTGATGGTGCTGTGTGGAGTACAGACCTGCATGGACAGATTTTTTGTGCTCCTTCCACAGAAAAAAAGGATTCTCCTAAACCCCCTGGAATATTTAAATTTAGCTGGTGTGCTGATAAAAAATGCGCTCCGACAGATTACTGGTGTGTTCCAAATGGAATATTTTGAGTGAATACAATGATGGCCGCCATTCTGAAGCGCCATTTCAAACCAAAATGATCAAAATGACTACTTTAGAGGGCCCTTTAGAATTAAAGGGTACAACTGATAAACATTTCTGGCCCCTGTATTCCTTTGCAGAAGGAAGTTGGTTGCTGTTTCACACTGTCTTCCATTCAGAAGGGCTCATCCCTATGCCCTAATCCCTTTGAAGCTATCATTCTGGAGGTTAAACTCTTTGGAGAGATTAGGGCATAGGGATTAGCACTACAGAATGGAATGCAATGTTAACCTCTCCTCATTAATCAGTATATGGGTAGAGTTGGGATTAGGTGTATGATTGGGTTAGGTTAATCAAGCAGTGGATTCTGTGAAGGGCAGCATAATCTTTCAGGGAGCTGGTTCATCTGGCGAGCCTGAAGTAAGGAACCTCATATCATCACACACAGTACTCCGGTTTAAAATGTGTAAAATAAGACATGGTAGAAAATGTGTTAAATAGGTGGTCCAGAGTGTATTTTAAAGGTTTGATTGTGTTTAAAGGATCCAAAGCAATGTGTGCTCATGCTTCATTTGTAAAATCACGTTATGTTTGCAAATATCTTACTTTAATAATATACACCTACTCAGCTAACATGAAAACGACTGTCATATTTCCTAGTTCCTCCGAAAGGTCTGCCCTCAAGTGGCTCTGATTGGTTAGCTAACATAATGTGCTGTGATTTGCGAATCGGCTCCATGTCACCAGGAAAAGCACCACGCCACGCACTGTGCCTCTGCTGTGTAAATACTGTCAGCCAGGGTAGTTGTTAGCCGTATCAGCTTGAGCCTGAATCTGACAGAAAATGACACAGAAGACACAGCTGAACCTCATGCCTGCTCTCCATAACAAAATCTGACAAGTGTCTTTCACATATATTCGGGTTAAAAAAATGTGTAAGCAATATGAAACCTTCACATATCTTTTGAGAGTTTGTTATTTGAGATGTAAAACGCAGGGAAAGTGGCTGCATAAAGAGACACTGAAACGCTAGTGAAGATTGTGGGTGTTTAGAGCAATTTGACGGATAAATATGAATTTGTAGCTAAATTGTTAGCGGTGCCAAACAACATATCCTGTTGTTTACATCCTTGCTACAACATACCGTTAACAGTAGAAACTATGCATGTAATAGATCAGTTTTAACAAAAATACTCACAGGTTGTGCCTCACAATTCACAGCTTCTATTATGGTTGGAGCTGATCCTCCTTTGAGGAGTTTTTAGCTAAATTCAGCACTGAAATGGGAGAGATTCTGGAAATGCTAGCTATATCTGTTTTATAATTCTCTGCAACAATTACAATTAAATTGTGAGCACTTCTCTCTGTGTCGTGTCTTTGAAAGCCCAAATACAGAAACAGAAGAAGCTCTGTGGTAATAGCAGCGTTTGGCAGCATACAAACCCTAGCATACGCTCCTTTGGCTTTGCTAATCTAACTCAGTAAAAGCCAACTTCTCCCTTTGCATTGAACATTGAGCGCATTACATCCAGAGATGTTGTTTATATTCATACAGCTACATTACACATGAAATAAAAAGTTTAAAATATGATATCTTAGTGGACCACCTCTTTACTGTTTTTGCTGATGTGTATATTGTTACGAATTAAATTAAAAATCCTTAATCAAAAAGAGATGTAACCAAAAACGTAACAAAATAACAGGGATTAAAAATATAATCCCTGGTGCCCCCGCGCTCTCTCTCCCCAAAATATACCAAAAACACAACCACTAAGAATTAACAAGAAAATATTATTTATTTACAGAAATAAGGGAGCAAAAATAACATCAGGAGGGGTTCAGCCAAAATAAATGACAATAAACCAAGCTAACTAAATTAGATTAAACTTCCCTAGAAAACAAATAAAATAAAATACAGAAAACTTACCTCCCTACTAACAAACACAGGAGAAAACGAAAATAACAAATAAGGCACCAAACCTCCCTACATGCTCCAAGCCCGACAGGGAGACAGACCGGGTTTCAATCGCCGGTTAAAAATTTAACACAACGGCATCTCAATATACATGCAAACACTCATGGAATCACGTTCTCCACTGAGTACAAGCGGGGAAAATCGAGAGAGAGCGGGGAGCCATCGAACCCATGCTCTCTGCAGGTTTTTATAGCCACCGCCAATCCAAGCGCCAATCATGGTCCGTCCCAAAGTAATCCGCTGCACCTGCGAATACTTAGAGTGAGAAAGAGAGAGAGAGCGAGAGAAAGAGAAAGAGCGCGAGAGCGCAAGAGAGA